GCAGCCCCCCCCCCACACACACACACATACACCCACCCACACCCGCACACATACACACAAATACACAGTGAACCAGGGAAAGCAATACAGAATTGTTCAACAGCAAGCGCTGGAGAGCCGCAAAAAGTAATGAAAAAAAACTTTATACCATTACAGATAGTGCTCCAAGCCCGCAACTTACCAGGGATGCAAGATTGATATTTTGCCCAGAGGGGCGAGTTTATTGGGCAGTGCCACTCATCCTATGAGTGAACATACTGCCATAAAAGCAGCACATTTCAGCCTTGACTCCCTTCCCTTCGCTCATCTCTGTGACTAGTTGATGGTCCATTACGGACCAAAACGTCGTCATAAATTTTACGTGCGGGTTATTTGTGTATCGTTCCAGTCACGGTAGTGTTCTTTTTTTTTTAGTTCTCCGTATTTCCAAATCGTATTTTCCTATGATTTACTTTTTGCTCCTGCTCCCTTCACTTTATTAATTATTGAAGAAAGGACACAGCTGCAGATTAAGCTTGTATTCCGACAACGCATCGCTCTGTGCAGTTTTATCAAAACATTGTAACTGATAGAGTTCTACACAGAGAGAGACTTTGCCACAATAAAACCATGTTTTGTACTGCTCTTTATTACTGTGGGCAGTACACAGCTTTATTCAATTCTCTCGTTCCCCGTGAATCTAATATTTCTTACATTTTAATATTTCTTCTCGTATCCTCTAGCAAATAAACCAAAAACAATTATTCTAATTTAGTTGAGAGAAAAGAAATTTTGTAAAATGAACAGTTGATAATAGCAAACAATGTCAAAAAAAAAAAAAAAATTATGACAAAATCTCCAAAACAGAAGAGATAATGTGTAATAACCTACAGTGTTGTCACTAAAAAAAAAAGAAATAGATTAGCTAAAAGAGATATATAAAGTAAAGCGTAGGAAAAGATACAAGTACTTCATATATACCAAACAATGGTGGAGGTTCAGACGCGATATCATTTTGGATTTTGAAGAAACGCGCCGAATTTAGCTATCTGCTCTGGAATATATTGAAAATATCCTGACTTGAAGGCAAACTGGTACACAACAAGTAACTGATATCATTGCTGAGGATTTCCACCTATTATTAATCACTTGCCTAGCATTTCTAATAACTTCTCCGTAATTACTAGTAACTTTCCCCATCTGGAAAGTGATTAGTGACTCGACAGTGGTAAGGGGATCGACCGAAACGTCGCCCTGAAACTCCTCTCTTAAGTACAGGTTTATAATGATCACTTTTTTACCCATATCTGATCACTTTTCTCGTCTTAATAATCCCTTACAAATCACTATTAATCACTTTACCCGATAAATATTTTTTTTAACACATCGGCCGTTTCCCACCAAGGCAGGGTGACCCGAAAAAGAAGAAACACTTTCATCATCATTCACTCCATCACTGTCTTACCTACACTACAGTTATAAAATTGTAACTTATCGTAATTACTGTTCGCTCTCTACAAAATTTATTTTTATTAGCGTCGGTTTTAATTCTCTCCCTTCTCCCCTCATCACTTTCTTGTCACTTTCTTCTCGCTTTTGTTCACCTTCCTTTCGTTTTGAGGCACTTTTCTCACCTCACAATTGTCGTTTTTTCTTCGTCATTCATCATATTCTTACCATTTTTCCCTCATTTTTCCTTCTCTTATACTGAACTTCAACTTTCCTTTCAATTGGTAGTAACTTTCCCCTTATGATTAGTTATGTTCCTTTTAATAACAGTCACTTCAAAGACAGTCACTTTATCCTCATTAGCAGTCACGTCTGGAGCTAGTCACTTTCCTCTCGACAGTAGTCACTTTCCCTCAAACAGCAATAACTTTCTTTACAGCAACAGTCACTTTCTCTTCCCTAGAGTTCACTATCGCAGCAACCACAGATTTTTATTAATAGATCCTCTTTTTGTTGGTCATTTTTTCCACACCAGATTCTTGATATTGTGGAGGTAAGCGGCATCACACGATAGAAACTGAGACACAAAAACAGTATAATACCATCCTTTACCGACAACGTTTCGCCCACACAGTGGGTTTAATCAAGTCATAAACACATCTCTTTTTGTCTTGGTAAAGCCCATTGTGGAGGCGAAACCTTGTCAATAAAGAATCACAATATATTGAATTTCTCTCTTTTTTTCCATCATATATGAATCCTGTAGACGGTATCTGCCTGTTTATTGTAATATCACCCCCATAAGCTTCAAAATAGATGGCTGCGCAAGAGCATTTTAAAACAAAAGATACCCAGGCACTGATCCCTAAAAGAACTAACAGGAGTACATTTGAGTAAATGCTATTTACCATATGACATTATTTTTTTTCTGTTTTGAAGCAAATTTAGTGCATTTGAGAGAAAAAGAGTTATTTATGTGGATATATATTGCTGTTAGTGACTTGAAAGTGACTGAAGTTGAGGAGAAAGTGATTATTACTGGAGCTTAACAAGCTACTAGTGAGGCGAGAATGATTAGTAATATAAGAAAATGAATAGCGAAAAGTCACTGCAGGAGATGAAGGATAATAACCCATATGATACGTCAAGACAGTGAGTGAGAAATGGGTTATTATCCTTCATCTCCTGCAGTGACTTTTCGCTATTCATTTTCTTATATTACTAATCATTCTCGCCTCACTAGTAGCTTGTTAAGCTCCAGTAATAATCACTTTCTCATCGATTGCAGTCATTTTCATGTCTCTAGTTGCTTAATTTTAATTTTATTATCACTTTTTCTTCACTTGCAGTTGCTTTCAATTTACTAGCAGTCATATTAATCTATTTTAATAATCACTTTCTCCTCAACTTCAGTCACTTTCAAGTCACTAACAGCAATATATATCCACATAAATAACTCTTTTTCTCACTTTCGGCCATAAGTCACTATAAATACCTTTCTTCACACTTGAAATCATTTCACCTATAACATATTCAGACATCTAACCCCAAATCTCCTTGTCACATTCATCATTTTCTGCCCCTTCCATTTTACATTCACTCACATTAAGTGTCACACTTTTTCCTTCCCTAAGAAGCATTTTCTTGTCAATTTCAGACCCTCTTTTCTCCGTAATACACTTTCCCTTACTTTCAATGGCTTTATTGCTTCCTACTCCTCTCCCAGGGATTCTCCTCCCTCAACTAGGACACGTGGATCTCTTGTTTCCTTGTCTCCCGGCTCAAATTTAGTCGTCAGCTTCATTTGTCACCTATTTTCTCCACTAAGGAAAAGGGAGGGTTAAGAAGAAAGAGATAAGGGAGATATAAAGAGAGAGAAAAACAGATAGCAAAACAGACAAAGAATGGACAAGATGGAACAAATGGCCAGTTGAAACACACACACTCACACACACCGACACATACGCATTCACACACACACATACATTCACACACACACACACACACACACACACACACACACACACACACACACACACACACACAGCATACAGGGTGCTAAAGGGACTTAATAGGATGAACAGGAAAAAGACGCTTCAAGTGAAAAAAAGCGGAAATCGGAAATAAAGAGACACTGACGGAAATTAAGGCACTAAATGTACCAGATATGTCAACAAATACTTGAATAGCCTCTGGGTTGACAGAAAATGGAATAACTTGAATGAAGAAAGAGTTGAGAGTGACTTCAAACATAATTTTAAAAATAGTTAAAAAAGAGCTCACAAACCAAGACTCAAACCTTGCAATCATAATTAGGTAAGTACACACACACACACACACACACACATACCACACACACACACACACACACACACACACACACACACACACAGTAACAAGGGGACACAGTTGGAAGCTGAAGACACAGATGAATCACAGGGATGTTAGGAAGTATTTCTTCAGCCACAGAGTAGTCAGTAAGTGGAATAGTTTGGGAAGCGATGTAGTGGAGGCAGGATCCATACATAGCTTTAAGCAGAGGTATGATAAAGCTCACGGCTCAGGGAGAGTGACCTAGTAGCGATCAGTGAAGAGGCGGGGCCAGGAGCTCGGACTCGACCCCCGCAACCTCAACTAGGTGAGTACAACTAGGTGAGTACACACACATACACACACACACACACACACACACACACACACACACACATACACACACACACACACACACACACACACACACACACAAAGCTAGGAGAGAAGCTTCCTACAAGCACCTTGCTTGAGAGGCATGACCAGGACCCGAGATTCAACACCTGCAACCACAGATAGTGAGTATATACACATCGTAGCTTGTAATACCCTGACAAAGCATTAAAAACAATTCGTCCGTTGTTCACCAGACTATTTGCCTTTCACAACTACGAACGTCAAAGTAGCATGTTTGAGGAATACATAGCATATTTCTATTATTACCAACATTGCAAAATGAAGCATCCCAAAAAAATATATTATGTAACTCACAAATCTGAGATAAACTAGTCAACATTTCGTCCTGTTCTGAACCTTTGTCAAGTCCCGAATCCATTAATGAGTTGAAAATAGTCATAAACAAATAGAAAAGTCGTCTATTTCATCTCCTATTTATGGCTTAGTTGAGTTGTCCCTGCCACGGAACTGAGAATTTTATTCACCCATAAGTAGACATGTTAACATTAATGTGGACGTACATTACCAACTTGACATCAGACGAACATCACCACCGTGACATCAAACGTACTACACCAACCACAACTTCAGAGGTACAACCCCACCGTGACACCAGAGGTAAAAAACCACAGTGACACCAGAGGTACAACCCCACAGTGATATAAACACAGAAACCATCACTAAACCAAACACTTTGAGCATCACTTTATACACCACTTGCATATTAAAAACGAATTCGTTGCTTTTCTCCACAACAATCACTAGGTCTCTGGCGTCTCCAAACAGACGCCAGGGTGTCCCTATTACTCCTTGGCGTCGGCCAGGACGCGTGATATCAAGGAATGAACACAACATCACTGGCTTACACGTAGGGGCGACGGACGGAGCGACGGAGGAGGCGCCACCGTCGCTTCTCTGGTCCCCAGACCAACTGACTGGAAGTGCCTGGAAACACCCCTCCTGGCACCCTTTCTCTCACCCTCCCGCCTCTCCTCTCTCTCTCTCTTCTCTCTCTCTCTCTCTCTCTCTCTCTCTCTCTCTCTCTCTCTCTCTCTCTCTCTCTCTCTCTCTCTCTCTCTTTCTCTCTCTCCTCTCTCTCTCTCTCTCTCTCTCTCTCTCTCTCTCTCTCTCTCTCTCTCCCTCCTTCTCTCTCCCGGCACCCTCTCTTTTTTATAACTCTCATTTCCACCTCCTCCCAATCCATCCCCTCTTTTTCCTCCATCCTGCTAAACTGATATAGGTCGTAAAGGTTTCCGATGTTTCTTTTTTCCCAAGTATTAAGTTTTCATTCTCTGACGCAACTTACCCCACCAACACTCACTCCTTCACTCCCTCACATTCATTCTGATTCCACTGTCTACCCCCTTTCCTTTCCTCTCCCCCCACTGTGTTTTAAATTCTTTGTCTCTTTTTTTCCCCTACACATCCCCATTTCATTACACCCGCCTTTTCCTCCCCATGTTCATCTCTTCTCTCTCACACACATTCCTCCTTTCTTATCCCAAAATCATTCTCAGCTCTGTTTGAACGATATCTCTTAACCCCTCGTAGCCACTAAACCCATAGTGGAGTTCTTGATAATATTTTTCATCACTCTACTGAAGTCTCCAAACTTATACTGACAGATTTTCTTACCCAGTGTACGTAACCTCTCTAGTATGATGGAATATGACAGGGAACACTGCTACCTTTATTCTCACAATGTAACTATCTTAAAATTTTAAAGAAACACATTCTCTCACAGCCCATCCTCTGGTAATCAGCTAATATTCTGGGGCGAACTACGACACTGCAGTGACTAAAGATTTATATGGAAAATCTTACAAGCAAGGAAGCCAAGAAGTTTACAGCTCTAAGGTGTATAACGTTCCTGCTGGATATTATGTTTCAAGACACTGTACGAGGCTAGAGTTTGCTGTCGACTTGTTTCTGCACAGTTTCATTGACTGTCTGCCCCTTTGCCCTTCTGTCTCGTCCTAGACTCTTTCGATCTGTTATTTCAGCAAAGCCTTCATGATGTGTTAATATTAGTATTCTCAAAGTCAAAAACTTGACTCAACTTCGTGGACAACTAGATGACACTTTGTATGTTTCCTGATGAGCGCATCAGTCATGATGTGTACGCACTGAGAACAACATCACATATACACCTGGACCATCAGTATGTACTGACCTGCACCATCACCATGTACTGACCTGCACCATCACCATGTACTAACCTGCACCATCATCATGTACTAACCTGCACCATCACTATGTACTGACCTGCACCATCACCATGACCTAACCTGCCTACTAGTGTCCGCTTCCTGCCCCTTCTTGGGGTAGGCTCCTGATCCAAGGAACTGGAGCTTCCCTCTCATTCCTCAGGCGTTATATGATCCTTAGGGTTTAACCCTTCCCACTGAATTAAATAATAATAGTAATAATAATATTTATTTTTTTTTTTTTATTATCACACCGGCCGATTCCCACCAAGGCAGGGTGGCCCGAAAAAGAAAAACTTTCACCATCATTCACTCCATCACTGTCTTGCCAGAAGGGTGCTTTACACTACAGTTTTTAAACTGCAACATTAACACCCCTCCTTCAGAGTGCAGGCACTGTACTTCCCATCTCCAGGACTCAAGTCCGGCCTGCCGGTTTCCCTGAATCCCTTCATAAATGTTACTTTGCTCACACTCCAACAGCACGTCAAGTATTAAAAACCATTTGTCTCCATTCACTCCTATCAAACACGCTCACGCATGCCTGCTGGAAGTCCAAGCCCCTCGCACACAAAACCTCCTTTACCCCCTCCCTCCAACCCTTCCTAGGCCGACCCCTACCCCGCCTTCCTTCCACTACAGACTGATACACTCTTGAAGTCATTCTGTTTCGCTCCATTCTCTCTACATGTCCGAACCACCTCAACAACCCTTCCTCAGCCCTCTGGACAACAGTTTTGGTAATCCCGCACCTCCTCCTAACTTCCAAACTACGAATTCTCTGCATTATATTCACACCACACATTGCCCTCAGACATGACATCTCCACTGCCTCCAGCCTTCTCCTCGCTGCAACATTCATCACCCACGCTTCACACCCTATATAAGAGCGTTGGTAAAACTATACTCTCATACATTCCCCTCTTTGCCTCCAAGGACAAAGTTCTTTGTCTCCACAGACTCCTAAGTGCACCACTCACTCTTTTTCCCTCATCAATTCTATGATTCATATGATTCATAATAATATGATCATAATAATAATAATAATAATCATAATAATAATAATAATAATAATAATAATAATAATAATAATAATAATAATAATAATAATGATAATAATAATAGTAATTTTAATAATAATGATAATAATAATAATTTTAATAATAATAATAATAATAATAATAATAATAATAATAATAATTTTAATAATAATAATAATAATAATAATAATAATAATAATAATAATAATAATAATAATAATAATAATAATAATAATTTTAATAATTTTAATAATAATAATAATAATAATAATAATAATAATAATAATAATAATAATAATAATAATAATTTTCATAATAATAATTGTGAGTGTTTCTTCATATTATATGCATTTAATTGAAATTAAGAGCATGATAACACTTCTCTCTGTCTCTCTCTCACTCTCATGAAAGTGTCTCGAGGCTGGCAAGTGGTGGGGAGGGGGGAGTTCTTGATCCAAGGATTGAAGTTATTCTCCTCTTTCCCTCATCAAACCTCATTACCTTCCATTGCTCAGGCCGGGTGTGATTCTTACCAGTTTAGCTCTTACCCGTGAATTTACAGGAGTAATATGTCGTAATTTTTTCCAGTGTTCCTTTATTAGTTGTGTATTTTGGGGACCAACATACAACAGTATATTTAAAGTGTGGGCTGACATAGTGGTAAGTGTTTTAAGTGAAGTTTTGTACTGGGGGATTTAGAACTGGTAGGGAATATTTTTCCATTTCTCTCTCTGTCTCTCTCTCTCTCTCTCTCTCTCTCTCTTTTACACAGGGTTTGACAAGGTTAAGGATCCCTAGCTTTATTGACAAGCTATTTACAGGTTGAGGATTTCTAACTTTATTGGCAAGCTAAGAGCTGTTATCTACATCAGCTCATTTGAAAGCATTTTTCTTGTTATGAGACATACAAGTAGGGAACAGGATGAAGTTGGAGCCATCTGTGGGCCAGCATTTTCATTTCATCAACTGACTTTATCTCGTTGACATCATTATGCTGTACGAATGTGTTCCATACTCGAGTCATCCTGGGTATATGATCTCAGATGTAGTGATGTTCTGGAGAAGGGTACAGCCAGAGTGAAGTTGCTGCTTTCTGCCCGTCTTGTGGTATAGAAGCTTGCTTCACGCTGTCCTCGAACTGGAGCCAAGTGTGGTACTTTGACAATGTTGGCCTTGTACATAACAGTAAGGCCACCCACATCCCTCCTGTGTTGAAGGCTCTGCTGAAATGACAGATCTATCCAGGATGGGTCCAGGCGAGAGATGAGACGTCTTGCTCTGTTCTCTACTCTGTCAAGCAGTAGCAGATGGGAGGGGGGGCAGGCAAACCAAGAAAGTGGAGCACACTCAAGGTGTGAGCGTACTTGTGCCTCGTACAGAATCTTGCAACCCCTACTGTCAAGCAGATGCGAGATACGGCGAAATGCTGTAAGCTTCCTGGCTGCCCTGTTTGCCAGATTTACAACATGGTTCTTCATGGTCAGTTTGTAGTCAAATTTCACCTCAAGGATATCAACTTCTTCTCCAGGTGCCAACACCCTCACATTCATCCTTACTACTGCACCAGCATTACCATCATGGTGCCTAGAAACCATCATCATTTGCGTTTTCTCAGGTGTAAATGTTACTTGCCATCTATTTCCCCAAGCTGATATAGCTCTAAGCTGGTGATTGATGTAGCTTAGAGCAGCTGGCATTTCTTTTGGATAAGTGAATGTCAGTGTACAGTCGTCTGCATATGCATGGGATTCTGGGATGAGATGAAGAAGGTCATTGAAGTAGACATTCCATAACAATGGTCCCAGCATGCTTCCTTGTGGAACACCTGCCCCAATAGGATGTCTTGCTGATTCCGTTCCATTGATAACTACCCTTAGAGATCTACCAAGAAGGTAATCACTGAGGAGACATAGCGTAGAGCCTGCAATTCTCAGTGCTTGAAGTTTTGCTAAGAGGCCCTGGCGCCACACCCGGTCGAAAGCACCAGCAATGTCCAGTGCTACCACACAGCTGACTTGGATTCATCCAGTGACTGGTGCTACTTAGTGGAGAGGTTTAACAAGAGATCAGCAGCAGAGTAACCTTTCCTGAAGCCATATTGACGGTCACAAAGTAGTGAGTGGTAGTCAAAAAACTCTGTCATGTGTCTTGAGATTATTGTCTCAAGGATCTTACCAGTGATTGACAGGAGTGACACTGGTCTGTAGTTGCTGATTTCTGCTCTGCTCTTCTTTTTGTGAACAGAGTGAATCAAGTAGCGACCAGCGAAGAGGCCGTGCCAGGAGTTATGAATCGAACCCTACAACCTCAACTTGGTGAGTACAACTACGTGATTACACACAGTGATTGTTTATTATTATTATTATTATTATTATATTATTATTATTATTATTATTATTATTATTATTGTCATTATTATTATTATTATTGTTACTGTTATATTTAAATGGCAGCGCTAAATCCATAGAGATGATACAGCGCCTGGGGGATGTGAGGCAATTGGATTCGATCCGAGGAAGGTCAGAACAAGTTCATTTCCCTGAACTAAGAGCCCCTCACCTTGATAAAGGAACTTCCCTTAAGTGGACACACACAAGAAGCGACCCAGAATAAGAGGGAGGTTCCTGAATGAGAAAAAAATCTGTATAAAATATAGTAGCGACTCGATTTTGGTCCT